CATTGAGTAACGTAACGGAATACGTTACAGAATACATTTTGGGGCATGTATTCTGTATTCTGTAATGGAATACATTTTAAAAGTAACCTTCCCAACACTGTAAATAAGTAATTCCTGTGAGTGAAAAGCCTAGGCTCCAGACAGCATCATACTCATTTTTTTCCCCCAGTCTTGGCTCTGTGTGATGTTACTGAGAGTGGACGTCTTTTTAATATCTTGGGCTTAAAACTGTGTAAGCACTGAGGCCCCACTCACCTCCGCTCCATGACATGGTGAGTTATCCAGTTGGAAGAAACTAGATGTGGTCGTTAAGAGACGGCCATGGACAGCAACAACACTCAGGTACGCTGTGGTGTTTAAACTACGCCAAGTTAGTATTAAAATGCCCAAACTGGGCTAAACCACCAACCTTTTTCCAATCCTTAAATGCCCAATGTTGGTGTGCCTGTGTGAAATGTAGCCTCCGTTTCTCTGGTCTATAACATCAACAAGGCATTTCCACCCAGAGAACTAATGCTCGCTGGATATTTTTTCCTTATCAGACTATTCTCTGTAAATACATTCAAAGCAGTTCAATTCTATTTTATTTATACAGCATCACAACAACAGTTGCCTCAAGGCACTTTATATTTTAAGGTAGACCCTACAATAATACATACAGCGATAAACCCAACAATCATATGACCTCCTATGAACAAGCACTTTGGCAACAGTGGGAAGGAAAAACTCCCTTTTACAGGAAGAAACCCCCTGACAGTACCAGGCTCATGGAGGGGCGGGGCCATCTGCCATGACCGGTAGGGGAGAGAGAAGGAAGACAGGATAAAAGACATGCTGTGGAAGAGAGCCAGAGTTTAATAATAAGTATGATTCAATGCAGAGAGGTCTACTAACACATAGTGAGTGATAAAGGTGACTGAAGAAGAAATACTCAATGCATCCTGGGAATCCCCCAGCAGTCTATGCCTATTGCAGCATAACTATTGGAGGATTCAGGGTCACTTGATCCAGAAATGCATGTTCATAGTCATTTAAATCACCTTTTATCTCCATCCGGATGTTCAGTTGAAGTTCAGCAGCTCGTCTTGACAATGTCTACATGCCTAAACTGTTGCAACGTGATTGACTGATGAGATATTTAAATTATTAAGGAGCTGAAGAGTTGTAGCTAACGAAGCTGCTGGTCTTGGCATATCTCCAAATCACAAGGGTAGCTTTTCAGAAGCTGAGCATTTAAGTTCTATGGGGTCTTTTATTTTGAAGGCTGGCTGGATTCTCTATACTATCCCTGCCCTTCTCATCTGTTCTGTGCAGGTCCACATGGTTACAGCTTAAAACAACCAAACAAAAAGCTCTCACATACAGAAACTGTAAAAGTTTTCAGTTTATTAGGAACAGCTGGCTAAAACTAACAGTCCAATGAAACTATCCTGCAAGAACTACCTGTAAAGGTTTAGTTTTTGCTGAACTGAGACAGGTGCTGAAACATTCATGTTTCGCAAGAATTCTGAAGACCACACTTTGAGGTGCTGTTGACCTGTGTTGCAGTTAACAGCTGTTTAGTTAATCTACTCGTATTTACCTGTTAACAAGTAAAGTGGAAACACGCTATAAATCAATGCTTGATTTTAAATGGAGTTGTACTGATATAGAGCTTTCCTAATGACACTTGTCTATACACACTTGTTGGTCATTTTGAAATCTAGAGGTGCACCTGTGGTGTGTGCAAAAACAGGTGCCACAGGTGCTCAAAATCATGCTCAAATCATGCACGATTCATTCAGTGCTCTTCCATGTGTGACCTGCTAAAAGATGCCTTGAAGGAGTTTTCAGTTGAGTCCCCTCAAATACAGGATTTTTTTAAATCACACTAAAATAGAATTAGATGTTTTGCAGCTGCAGTCTGGCCCCAGAGAGACCTTTGTTCTCACGTGCTGTCACATGATGATATTGGACCGTGAGATCCTGCGTAAGATATGTCGAGAGAGTTGCAGTGGTTTCAACATAACAGCACCATTGTGTGTTCGAAACGCAACTTGGAGCAAACCTGTTCAGAGTCGAGCTGCATTTTGTCCTTTTCAGAACGTGAGCTTTTTCATATTCAGAAAACTGCATATTCACAAATCTGAAGGAAGTTTTGTCTGATCCTGACAAAAGCAATTTCTTCATAAAATTATAGCTTACTTTGCAAGCTGGACTGTCGCCTGGAATTGGTTAGCTTATAGTTAAAGATTAATGGCCTCTCAGTGAGTCAGCAAAAAGGCAGCCTAAGGGGAAAAAAATCCAGTCATCGGTGAAAGAGGCTCGAGTGTCTTAAAAAGCAGCAAAAGAGGGGAAAAAATAAATAAATGTGAAGCAGAAAATCTGAGCTGTTTCAGAAATGCTCTCATAAAGTTAATATCATGTGATGTTAAGAGAGCAGGTCTGAAAGATGCTACTCTGACTTTTATTATAAACACACAGCACCATGCTTAAAGTACATGTGCCTTCTGCTGTCACAGGGCAACACTTCCTTTAAAAAACGTGTGCAGTAGTGAGCTTTAGTCCACCCCTCCCACGCTGCTTTCAGGTTCCTCTCTTAATCTAGATAACCGTTGATTACACATTCAGCTTAAAAATGTAATTGGAAAATGCAAAAAGAGTAAAGTGTACATCGGTGTTCGAGTAAAAGATGAAATACTATGAAATCTTGGTTCTGTTTTATATAGCTGCTTTTTCTTCTTTACTAATATATCTTTTAAGCACGCAAATGTACGATTTCAATTCAAAAAAAGACAAAACTATGGGGTTGATGAGAATGAAAGAAAGAAACAAGATGAGGAAACAAGCGTGACTGATTTAGAAGGAAGAGATATAAGGTGGAATAAGACCTTCCTTATTTGGTATTTGCCTTTCCTGTCTCTCTGGTCACGTCCTTCCCGTTCCGTTCTGAGTCATCTTGTCCCTTTAAAATGCTGCGTTCAGGTACGCAATAAAGCAACCTGGGGCTTCTAGATATTTCCAGCACGGGTGCACTGGTGTCTGTTTGGTAAAACTGTGTTGATTAAATATTGTTAAAAGAAATGTTCACTTCTTTGTTAGATGTAAATTCATGGGATAACTTTATGAATCAATGTCTGAACATTTGTGGCATCTAAAAGAGAAAGAATTGTCCATAAAACAGCATACTGTTTGGCACCTTTAATGTCCTCTTACTTTAATGCTGAAAGTACTCATAAGTTACTTTGAGTAGAGGCAACAGGTATATTGCTGATTTGCCAATAATCTAGTTTGAGTATTATTGACACTTTTCTTCTTTTATAGAGACACAGTGCTGTTCCAAAGCTCTTCTACTGTAGCATTTTGCTTGTCACCATCTTGGTTTTTGGGAACCATAATCGGCCCAGAGGAGATACTGGTGGATCTGAAACTGAATATTAAGTAGGTCACATGTGGCAGAAACAAAAACAGACCACATGTATGTTAGTTAAATTTAGCCTTGAATCAAACTTTCACTTAATAGTTGCTATTACATTAATGCACGCCTTAAAACCAGGACCTAAAACCTGGGTAATGCAAGTAACTAGACTCGTAGAGTAAAAGTAGTTTTGACAATATGAAAAAATAATGGATGGTACAGAAAAAAGGTGACTTCTTGGATTTTCTGTTAGTGCAACCAAATGCTGAACAGAATCCTTTCAGGTGACCTAAATAAATAAATAAGTAAAATAAAAGTTAGAATTAAAATTAATTAAAAACAACACAGTACCACAGATAAGCTTTGCCATTGCCATATCCTGACTAAATGCCATGGGCTATATGCATTGTGCTGTACTGAAGAGGACTGAAGACTAGCAGTAAACCCATTCTGAGTGATTACTGGGGTAATAAATCAACTGAGAAGCAGGGTCACGTTGTCACACACTTCTCAACAAGTCACTTCTTGCTTTATGTCAACAATTATAAAGTCAGTGCAAGAAAAATCGAGCTAAAGTAACACTACTTAAACTGGACAATATATATAACTGTGCTTAAACAGAAAATTTATGCAGATAGTTAATGCGTGAAAAAAAGATTAAAGTTACATTATTTTGCAAATGCAAAGCCAGAAGTTCCAAAAATACGTCAAACGGAAAAAGGCAAACAAGTTTAAAGGGTTAATACTTAGTCCGCCATGGTCAATAACAGCAGGGGTTACGCTCTACCAGTGATTTCATATTTAAAAACATGCTCAGCTTTTATTATTTATACTTCACCGCTTACAGGACAAAACAAGCCCATGTCCTGATAAATTCTTTTTTCCACCGACCATAAAGGCCATTATCGCCGCTCACGTGTATTTCGTGTGCTTCGACATGATTTCCAACTGTTACGAGGTGTTCTTAAACGCAGCGCCAGATCGCTGTCGGAACAAACGACAGCACATTCGCTGCCCCGTGAGTGGCGGAGGCGGAGGTTTGATCGTTGGGTGAACGGACCAATCCCGTGCGCCGGTGAGCTCCCGTGCCCCTCCCCCCTCCTCCGCAGCTCCGCCGCCTTCCCCCAGCTGCTGCGAGCGGACAGTACATTCCTCACACTTCGGCCGTCTACAGCTCAGGAACGGGACACTGAAACGAAACCAGCCGAAGACTCGACGGATTCATACCTCCCATGACACTTCCCAAGGGCACGTAAGGTTGGTTTTTCTGTCGTCTTTATGTCATTCTCTTAAATTGAACTCAAGTTTGCCCTTTAAACTTGGTCCAAATTGGTTCTCAACGTTCCCGCTGAAGTACGGGAACCGTCACGGGGTTAAGGGGTGTTCTCGGGGGTCCTGAGCTAAATAAGTAGGGTAGATTGACCATATGATCGTAGTTAGCGATTTAAAAAGACTGATTTTTGCTAACATGTTTATTATCCGCGTATTTTACTTTGTTGAGGCTTCTACCGACATATTAAATTAGACCAAGCAGCTTTAATCTCTCCGACGAGGGTCAAACTCACCAAATGGGGCTTCGTGTGTCCTCTTTACTTTTGTAAAAGGATCAGAGAGAAAGTGATCCATGGCGCTACCCATCCCTGTATGGATGAGTAAAGTCTGTCAAGCCTGCTGGGGTGTCTAACAGTGAGTCATAGTTGGTAAAATGCGCTCTTTCAAATGTCTTAACTCAGGGGAGAAAAAAATTCGACTATGTAAAGGTGCATAATATATTCAGTATCTGCAGCTTCATGCTTTATGTGTTTTCTCCTGATTTGAAAAGGCTCTGTGCCTGACAGTGTCTCTGAAACTCATCATGCTGCTTGCTTTGTGCTCTTACATAAATTGAATGCAAGGTTTATTGCCATGCTGCCAGATCAGACATCCCAGCCCTAAAAAAAAAATAAAGAAAGAATAGACACACCATCTCAGCGACTGCTGTCAAAGGTTTGTGTCTCATTTTCTTTCACTAGGAGGAAATGCTCCGATTGGTGACTTTAAAAAAGACAAATGTTTAAGACAAACAGTCAGTTCAAGCTCTGGGAAACTAGCCTCTCTACCTAATTTAGTTTTGCTAACTATTTGTTGTGTTTTGCCATGTAAATGTAACGCTTCATTACACGTTGTACCTTATTGCAACCTAACAAATGGGCTCTTTATCCCCTGATGCAGGCCAATGTTGGGTCGAGGTGTGAAGCGGAAGTGGAGCTGCTTGGAGGAGCTGGAGGCTGAGGTGGTCGCGGAAGCCACTATTACGGAGGAAAAGGAGCAGAGTGGAAAGGATGGCCAGGAAGACGAGGCCGGGCTTCTCATTGACCCGTCCAAATCGGTCATGAGCCACCTGCAGCAGCGTCAGCGGGTGCTCGGCCTCTGCTTGGAGAAGCTCCAGCGTTATCAGGCGGGGATGGAGCTCAGCCTGCGCCGCTCCGTGCTGCTCATCAATACTCTCAGGCAGATTCAGGAGGAAATCCGGAGTGACGGCGTGGGAACCTGCACCTCAGATTCACGTCTCAGCATCAGCGGCGTTCATGCAGATGACTCCCGTCTACTCAGGGACGATTTCAGAGAGGACGTGCCTGTTACGTGCCCTGGGTGTGCCGAAGGAGATGGGGAAAGCCTGTCTCTGTCTCCCCCACTGTCCCCCGAATTCCCCTCACAGGAGGCAATTGACTTCCCCGACCAGCAGAAATCTCTGCCCGCTGCAGCCATCAGTACTTTCAGCGATGCAGTAAATGCCATGGGTTACCTCAGCGACCTCGCCCTGGATGATATCTTTGAGGACATTGACACATCGATGTATGAGACTTCAGATCTGCCGTCGGCCTGGGCGGCAGGTTCTCTGTGGCCAGTCAGCGTGTCGCTATGGCCGGACGAGGACGTGAAATTACGTTCTTCCAGCCATTCCTCAACGGGGAGCCTCCAGTCTTGTCTCATGGACCTGAATGACCTGGACCACATCATGGAGATCCTGGTAAAGTCCTGATCACCGAGATGAACTTCTGAACATTTCCTGTCTTTTTCTTAGGAGCTGCTCTGGCTGAATTAGGGCTGACAAACTCTTTCTGATGAACTCTGTCTTTTTTTTCCTTTTTCTTTTTCTTTTAACGGTCTATCTGATAGTTTGGCTGAAAAAATTTCTCAAGGTTGAGCCAGTTTAAGGTGGAATGAAACACTAATTCTAATATGCACATGCCTCTTATGAGGACCTAGTTATGCACCTATGCTTGTGCCTCAAGAGATATGAAATATTTATTATAACAGATGAAGAATAACATTCAGAGCGTCTTATAAAGTTAGACATCCATGGTACAACTTTTTTGCACTGTTTTTAATAGTTATCAGTCCAAAACTGCTATTGACAGGAAAAGTGAAGATCGAAAACTTGACACGTCAGTCGAGCAAAAATGGAAAGAAATTATTCCTGTCTTTGTATTTTATTTAATGTTTTTAAAGTATTTTTATGCTGGGGTTTTGGGCTGTTGAAGAGCTAATTTATGACATTTTACTGGCAAACAAAACAAAAATTCAAAAAAAGATGTACCTTTTATTTGTGTAACCAATCAATATTAATCAAAGAATTGTATTTTTAGCTGAAACTTGGTATATAACAATGCCACAATCAGAAATGGATTTTAGAAGGGACAGGAAGACCTGGAATCAAACCGGGCAGCGCTTTAGCTTTCCAGCTGGTTGTATTATGAGTAGGAGTAGAATAATCTCTACTAAGAGTAGATCAGACATGTTTAGACAAAGTTGGCACACCAAAAGTATATTGCAAAACTTGCAAGAGAAGTGTTGCAATGGGTGGTACTGGACATGAAAAACTGATGGCATACGGCAGTGTTTAAGGTGAATTTTCCTGGACGTGGAATCTCACGTTTCCAAGTATTTGTCACTTTGCTCTCCTGCTTCTGTAACTGCAGCAGTCGTCAGAAGAAACCTGAGCTGCCGTGCTTCGTGCGGTACTCTGACTGTTAGATCAGGTCTGGGTTGATTATTAATTGAAATCCCTTCAATTACTTAAGAGGGCGTGCTTCTGCCAGCCAGGAGAGCCCAGGCCCGAGTTTCTTTTTTCAGTTGTAGGACCGAGCAACTCCTGTTGATGAAAGATGAAAGTCTTTGTGGCCGTACAGCAGTCAGAGCATGGACTATCTATCTATCTGTATATTTATTTCCTTAGTAGAAAGGAGAATGCAGCCGCTTGTGAGCACTATATTGAAGTTGTATAGAAAGTGTGTGTGTGTGTGTGTGTGTGTGTGTGCGCCGGGGTGGGGTGGGGGGTGTAGAGAGGACATCTCGATGCTCCAGTATAGAAAGGGTAAATTGTTTTTCTTGTTGCCTTTTTATCTAATTTTATTTTTTATTTGTGAGTGACAACTGAACAGCAAACCATATTACTGTTCTTTCTACATAGAGTCTATCGGTTAGGTGTGAGTGTAACTTATAATTAAGGTTCTTTCTAATCTCGGACTGTCAGTGTTGATGCACTTTGTGACACAAAATGGGACAAACAGTCAGCACCTGTATGACAAATAAGAGTTTTTCCTTCTTGGCAGCTTTTTTTTTTTTTTCTTAGTTTAGTAAATCCAACATGTCATTAACTCAGCATACAATATGTATTTTTAAATGGTAATGTAATCCCAGTCTGGTTCTGACTGAGGAGCCAATCACATCAAGTCAATGGTCAGGGCACCTTTGCCATGTCTCAGAGTTTAACCTGAGAACAGAAGCCTTTGTATTTTGATGGTTTTTTTTGTTTATTTCAATTTTTACACGCAATGTGGGAGTTGAGCAGTTTTATACGCGTTTCTACCTGAAACCAATTTCCTGTCTAGTAGAAGAAATCCAGTGAGTGAAAGGTCACAGGGAATCTGACGCCTGACCTTCGCTGTTTGTGGTTTACTCCTGTTCTACCTCCTGATGTCTGTCTGTCTGCCGGTTTACCTGGAACACTCCCGTTTTCACCCAGAGAGCCGTTTGTGTTTGTCGCTGATTGAAACGGTGTGGTTTATCATTTTAATTGTGCTGAGAATCTAACGCTCTCCTGTCAGACCAAAGTGATCCGTCCTCATCTCCATCTCATTTCATGTTGACAACGTGCCTTACTACTGATTCTAATTTTCAACTGCGCTGAGGTGTTGTGTCTGTGTGAGCTCGAGCTTCATTGATATTTGTTGTTTTTTTGTTCTGTTTTTTGTAAACCAAAGGACTGCAGAAAGGTGTTACGTAAAGCACTCAGAAGCCACGGCTGTCATGGTTTCTTCCCTTTACTTGGCCTTTTTCTGTGCTCGCTGAACACTACAGGCATATGAGCTTAATGTATCCTGATGGGCTGACAGTGAACTAGCTGAGGGAGGAGGTGGCAGCCAGAGCCAGAAGGGGGAAAATAAGAGGAGGAGGAGGAGGAGGATGAGGACGTGGAGGAGGGTGGGAGGAAGCAGATTGCGTCACATGTTCAGTAGGAGGGGTTTGGAGCTTGTTTTGCCCAGACTTAGACTACAGACCAATCACATGAGATGTACGAGCAGCGCACTGCTGCTCCAACAACAACTTGTTTTTGCTCCTGATGCCTCTGCACAGACACAGTGTGAATTGGCTGTACTTCAGCCGGTGAAATAAAACCACTTTTCAGTTTTTTATAAAATAATTTTACATAATCTGTCTGACAGGATTGAATATAATAAGCAGGAGGTTGCAGTGTTATTTATAATTGTGTGAAAGCACAGAGTGTCAGTAGGTTTTGCAAAGCACAAAGTGTATGTTGTCAATGCTGAACATGAAAAACAACCCCCCCCTCCCCTCCAATGTAACTGAAGGAAGACTTTGTTCAGTGAAAAGATGATCGTTCATAATGTATTGTATTTGTTTTTGGAATATTTTATAGATTTTATCCAACAATAAAGAGAAAATGCTCTAACTGCTTTGTGTGAGTCTTTTAATCTTTCATTACACAACATCATACAGACCTGACTGTGTCTTTGGCACAAAGACACAAACGTCACATCTCTATTACAAAAACTGAACATGAAGTATTTACTATACAGACATTCCTGCCGACCTCTGCACACCAACCACGTACACACAACAGGACATTACTCAATACGCAACTGACTGCATGTGGTCTGTGGACCTGCAGGAGTATTTTGTCTTGTGTGTTGCCTCCAAGGCAACAGTCCCTTTTGAGCTCAGCCAAAATCCTTCTAACCTTTAACTGCTTAACCTCAGTAATAGTATACATGTATAAGCTAAAGCATGTCAATGTTACATCATGCAAAATGTCATTGCAGCCTGGAAAGCAGGGCTGAGGGCAAAATTTCCCGCAGCCCATAAATAAATAAATAATAAATATATATTTGGGAAATATATATATATATATATATATATATATATATTTCCCAAATGTGTCTAGAGGGTTAAATGGAAGCCAACACTTCCCTCTGGTGGTCATTTGATAGAAAAGCAGATGTTTTTTTATGATGAGAATGACAATGCACATTCAAAAAGATCGGTCCTGCAGTGTTTGTTGGTGTTGTAATCAGGTCTTTCTGCAGCTTCATCACTAAAACTCGGTGTCATTTTCAGAAAACCTGATCTGTCTATGAAGCCAGTACAGTAAGTATCAGTGTTTCTCACAGCAGGGGACTAAACTTCCTGTGAATCTCACTTAATTCACTGGCAACTCTCTTAGTCATGGAAATTCTGGACAGAGAGGTTTAATCTCATGTTTCACCTTTACCTCTGCAAACGCAGTGTAGATCTCTATAAAGCTGTATATGCAACATTACAGATCAATACTGGTGTAAAAAAAGGAAAACCATCAAAGCCTTTTACTTATGTAAGAGCAGCAATATTATACCAGAAAAATATCATCAAAAGCACTGCTCTTCTCCTCTGCCTTCTCTTTCCCCTCCCTCACCCTCAACTAGGTTGCGTGGAGGAAGAGCTCCTGTTAAAAAGGAGTTCTTCCTTCCCACTGTCGCAAAGTGCTATCAAATAGTGAATCAATGGGCTTCTCTATAATCTATAGCAGGGTCTTCACCTTAAATTGTACAGATCCTTGAGAAGACTTCAAACATCAAAAGTTTTTCAATTTCAATTTTCAAAGAAAAATGAGTTACATTATTTTTATTGGGTATTTTCAAGAGAAGAAAAGCTAAAATTACTGGAACCGAAAAGTCTCACAAATGAGAAACAATTACACAGCCTGTCATTCTTTTTGCTTGGGATCAAATATAATTACGCATCACTCCATGAAGTGCTCCTTTAATGGCTTGTTGATTTATTACTTTCGGTATTCATCTGTTTCCATATTAGCTGAACTATAACGATAGAAGACAACACATGGAAAAAAAGAAAAGCAACATATGTTCTATATATGGCAACAGACTCAAGCTTAATTTTAGCCTCTAGCCCTGGATGGGATCGAAGGACAAAACATCACGGCATGGAAACGGATAAAACCTACGATGTGTCAGATTAAAATGCAATACAGTATGGATATTCTGCTACATTCTTCCCTCTCTCAGCAAAATTATGGGTTTGATCTCAGCCCAGAAAGCAGTAGAGTAGATGTTGTGAGCGAGAGGCCTCTGGTGCAGGAATTCAGGGAGTGGCCACACACAAGGAGGAGCAACACGTGCATCACTGCACACAGCCACAGCCAATACTACCATTATAACACACCAGAACTGCACATCTATCTATCTATCTATCTATCTGTCTGTCTGTCTGTCTGTCTGTCTGTCTGTCTGTCTATCTATCTGTCTGTCGGTCGGTCTGTCCACCAAACCAAAGATTTTGTGAAAGTATAGCTGTGTATCTATGGCCCAGCAGAGTGCTGTGGTGTGTCAGTCTGGGTTTAATGTTTCTCTGCAGGCAGGCATCAGTCTGCTGCGGTGCAGTAAAGCCAGGCTTTAGCTCAGAAAGCCTCGGTGTACCAGGCTGACTCAGCACAAACGCACACACACTTACACACATTTGCACAATAAACAGCCTGTTCTGCTACAAAACAATGGGATGGACCAAAGAGCGATGGGCAGATAGAGCCAGTAGCACTTCATAATTTCTTTTCTTTTCTTTAATGCAAAAAAAAAAAAAAAATAAAAAAATCAACAATTTATGTGAGGTATGAGGTGCACAGTGGGACTGCATCTACAGTCTTCTCTTTTATTCTCAGCACTTAAAATGCATAATGGAAAATGACTCAACCAGCAAAAGGCTGTAAGTTGTCCAAGAAGCTGTTAATGCTTGTATGTTAATTAGTTTTTACTATCAACACAGCAAAACAGTAAGCTAATAAATAATTATTATTCAGTGACATTCAGATATTTTTTCAAAAAGAATGTGGTGTCTAGCGGTACATTCCTCATATTGTAATTTTACAGACGTATTAGTCCTATATGTTTTCACTGACTGCACATGCTCACTCTAGCAGAATATTATTATGAAGCTAACTGACTGCTATTTTTACATCAAAGCTCATACACCAGATGATAACTTCAAAAGAAAAAAGTTCTCTATTCTACTTTGTGAATTATACTTTGTATCCAATATGTGAAAAAAGCTTTATTTTTCTCCAGGAGTCACATGGATCAGGACAATTTCAAATTATTTTATTTATACAGCACCAAATCACAACAACAGTCAAAGCGCTTTATATTGTAAGGTAGACCCTACAATAATACGTACATAGAAAAACTCAACAATTATATGACCCCCTATGAGCAAGCACTTTGGTGACAGTGGCAAGGAAAAACTCCCCTTTAACAGGAAAAAGCCTCCAGCAGAACCAGGCTCAGGTTCAGACAATATAGTAAACATAAAAAATGAAATTTAACTCTTTACAGAAGAAATGTAGGCTATCAGTTCTAAATGACATAAGCTGTGAAACAAAAACACATGTGCCTTGCATATAATTTGGCCCCAAAATTCTCATCAAGCACACGTTCCCTCTGGGAATAAGTGAAATAACTAGCATGTATGCTGCATCAGTCCTCTGCACTCTTGTGCACCGTCACGTTCTGTTGCCTTCTCCTTGCTACACCACCGCACATGGTTATTCCCCTTCCTCTTCCATCAGCAGACCACTCTTGCAGTTTTGGGGTTACACTTCCTCATGCTGCTGTGACTACTGGGATCACTGGGACCGCCCACCTCTGCTCCAGTTGTTCCTGGTACTTCTCTATTTTCTTGTGCTCCTTCTAACTAATGTTGGTATTCCCTGGGGTCTTCCTTGTCAACCACCACTATGTCTGGTTTGTTGGCCAGCAGCTGCTTGTTTGTCTGGAACTCTCTCATTGTGTCTCCCATTGGTACTTGGGACCTTCTAGTCCATTTCTACCACAGATGCACCTGTACACTACCTCAGCCACTTGGTTGGTTCTCTTAGTGTGTACAGTCCTAGCTTGTATCTTACATCCTACTACTTTGTACTGCATAGTCTCCGGGGCACCAACTTGGGTCCTGTTGGCTGTGGTAGACTCCTGTCTCTATGGATCTGGGGCTTA